CCTCCCTCGGACAGTGCCTGCCCCTGCCCCCTCCCTCACTGCAGGGGGCGTTGATCTGCCCCTTCATGCCCCTTCTGTCCCCCCTCCCCTTCCACCACATTGAACTTACTACCTAGAGGCAGCAGTATTGGATTGGTATCAGCCAATATGCCTCCTTAAATATCGACTATCGGTATTGGCCCCCAAAATCTCTATCAGTGCACCCCTATAAAAAACAGTTTACATTGTTCTGTGGGATGCGTGTTGGTATTTTGACGGTATAGCTGAGACAGTCATTTAAAATGCTCCCTTATTTCCCATTCTGTGTAAAGGAGTTATCCAGATCAGCTGAAACCACAAAACATTATTCAAACACCTTGAGTGACTTATTTTCACAACTACTTATTTCATGAACATTAAAATTGCTATGACTAAAGAACAAGGCAAACACTAACCCACAGGCGTGCCAAATCCAAAATACTCTGTCTTGTCACTCCAGGAAGAATGATGCCATCCAATGGTGGAGTTGCCAGCTCCTCTTCTATTAAAATGAAAGCACAAAACAAAAGTCCCAATGTAAATGAACAATAGCCAAATAAAAAGAGCAGTATATGATAGCTGAAACATCATATGGGAACAAGTGCCATGTACCAACAGTCAGATTTGAACAATCGCTAGTAATTCATAAGAAAAGTACAAATGGCACAAGCTCAGTCTGAACAAGATGCTAGCCAATTTGAACCCATGCATATATCTGAATGACTGGGAAAGAAGCACAGTTAATTGTCAAAGCACAGAAATGGGTTCTATTTCTGGCTGTGCTGCCAACTTACTGTATGATCCTGGAAAATCATTTAACCTTTCTGGATCTTCAACCTCAGGCTTAGGAGGCACAAGTGGAAGTTGGCTTTCTAATCTGCTTGGTGGCAGGGGCTATGTGTAGGGGGTGCACGTGTACCCCGAGAGTGCCGGTGCACCCTGTGGGACCGTGCTCCCTGTTTAGCCAGTGGGCAGGGGGGCAGGCAGGAGCACCAGTACCCTCCCTACGAGCACCAGCCGGGCAGTCGGGCTGCCAGCAAAAGCGGTCGTGCTGCTTCCGGAAGTGGCCACAGGAGTTCTGGAAGCAGTGCAGTTACTTTTACGGTGAAATCGGACGCAGGGGATGCCCCCTCCCAGTTGCTGACTGGTGTTGCGGGGGGGGCACATGCCCCCCTCCCGCCCCCCCGACTCAAGGGGCACCAGACACCCATGCTTGATGGCTATTATAACACTATGTTTAGTTAGTAAACATTTGTAAGGACTTTCGAGGGTAACTCGCTAGACAAGTGAGGGTCATAGTTCAGGACCTTTCTGTTCTGGGTTTGACGAGAAGCACATGTAGTGAGTGATTAGAAGTTTCCTCATCTCTGACATCGATGACAATAAGCTGATACGATTTACATTTAATGTCCCCACTTAATACATCTCTCTGCATCTAAAGAGCAGCTACAAGCAGGAGCTCAGTACACACTAGACTGCTGCCTACCCACCATGTCTCAGCCCAGAGCTGGTGGGCAGAAAGCAAGGTTAAGAAGGTAGGTCATCCTTCATATCTGCTCAGCCCTGGGCCTTTCCACCAAGACTGCCAGTGTGAGCTCCAATTAGTGACAGCTGTGTAGACTGTTCTGTGAAACCTAGCTATGGATCAAGCTCACTTTGCAAGACTTGCTGAATGGTCATCTTTAGGTATGGAAGCTTTCTGTACTCCTCCATCTACAATCTGGCTTGGATATAAAATGACATCTTAGAGATAAAAGACATAACCCTCTCTCTTTAATGCCCACAAACTCTGGCGTTCTGGTGGGAGGCTTAGACACATATTTTATATGACATTTCATGGGAGAGGAAGTCTGCATCTCTGACAGTCCCAATCAGCTGAAGACATCTTTCCTTTGCTACCTTCCCTCAACCTGTCTGGGATAGTCTGCATGGAATACAGACACATCCAGCAAGTCCAATGCTCTGATTAAAACAGGCTTGTATGCTCTGGGTATTCTAAGTGTGGAAAAAAGAAAGGCAGTTTTAAATAAATGTGTCTAACATATTTAATTGTGCACTTAGTAAAAGCTAACACAATGACTTCCCTGGGACTAGATGTAGCAAATTAAAAGATGATGATTATGAGTATGAATATTTTTAGGATGCACAGTCTCTTGTCTGCTCTCTGACTCCATTTAGTAAGTTAGTGATGCAGCCTCTAGCAGAATATGCAAACAGAGGTATCCAAATCTTTGGTAGACTCAAGTTGGGACAGATGTTCAGCACTCCAAATGGATCCAGATTTTTACACAGTGCTCTGTACCTGCTCCCTGAAAAAAGTATTTCAGTTCTCCAACAGGCTTCCCCGTGTTCTCTTCTAAGCACCTCAGACTCCTCTGTGAGTTAGTCTGTATCCTACGTGATTTTAGAATCACAGAGTAGGAAGGGACTTCAGGGACATTAACTCCCCTGCATAGATACAAGATGTGGCATTCCCAAACCATCCCAGAGACATGTCAATTCTATATACAAAATTAACCTGCTCATTGTATCCAGCATCCTCAAGATATTTACAGACAATGTCTTATGCCACCATGCATTAAGACACATACATTGCTTGCTTCTCTGCCTCAGTTCACTCATGCTTGTATTTCTTCCCATGGTCCAAGAGAATGGCTCCTATTTTTCCTATGTAACCTGAAATATTAATTTGAAAGTGGGCATGTCCTATACATTTGGATTATCATGACAAGCTACACAAATGCTGCCAAAGCATAGAAACAACTCAGATATTTGTTAGTAGAAGGTACAATGCACTCAGAATAGGGTTACCTGCTGCTTGGGGGCTGACTTCTCTGTAGTGTCCATAATTGATCAAAGGCAGACTGATACATGCAGCAATGGTTTCTTTCTCTTAGCCCTCCTTTTGCCTATTAGTCCATCATAACACTGGACAGCCTCCAGCAAACACATCCCAGGGTTGCCTGCTCTATATCCTGGCACAGCCAGTAAACTGGAGGGCACTAACCAGAAGCTACCCTGATGGAGAAGTTACTTTGTAACTTCCTTCTCAGTTGTACCACTGAAGAATCTGGTGCTGGCCAGTGACAGAACATAGGATCCACAGCTCTGACCTGACCAGAAACTTCCAAAGCTCTGTGTTTGTGATATCACCAACTTTGGAATTGTCAAAATTGATCATTAGTTAGTTGCAAAAAGAGAAAATAATGTGGAGTGTGGTGTCTGAGCCTGTGACAACACACTTGGTACTGTTCCCCCTCTGGAGATATTATCCAGAATGGTTGGCCTGGATCTTTCTAAGCTCTACAATGTGCACTGACTATGTTGGGTTATTCTGAAAATTTGCCAGGCCAGCTGCCAAACAGCATGAGTTGATAGAGTATGGGAGTCTGCAAAACACTTTAAACTGCTTGCTTTATATAATTTTGTCGAGTGTACATATCACATCTACCAGCCTGGGGTCAGCTAAAGGAGCATCTGCTTCCATGGGTACCAGACAGAGAGGATGACACCATGTGCCAAAATGCTAATTCTCTTTGTGAACTGATACCAGAACTGGCTCCATATGGCTTCAGTTTGCTCATCTCAAGGAAAATGGTCTGACAGTTTATCTTTGAGTGATCTGATGGACTGGGGACACTAGGATTTACATTAGCATGTATGAGGAAGACCCCAACATGGAATATCCTTAGGGGTCTTATTTTTTGTTTTTGCTTATATTATTACTGTTATGTTACTACTGCTGTGGTAGCACTGAGAACCCAGCTACCCAATGTGCTGAACCAGTGGTTCTCAAACTTGTTTGGGCTGCATATCCCTATTTAATTGGCTTTAATGCTCTGGACTCCTACTCTGTGTTCTGAAGAATAACCTCTCATTGTCACCTCTCCAACAGATTAAGTGATACTATGAAGTTGTTCTCCATTTTCACTTTCTTCTTTTTCCTCAATCTATATTTCATCTTTCTCTTCTGCATCTAGTCCCATGTATCCTCTAGAAATTCGCTTCCTACCCTCAGGCATCCATGTACCCCAGTTTAAGAAACACTATGCTAGACACTGTACAAATCTGTAGCAAAGAGACAGTCCCAAGTCTGCAGAGCTTACAATCTAAGTGACTTTAAAATCAGGCCTTGAATTCTGCTGGACAGCATAAGCTTCTGTCCTTCTTACATAAGTGCATCTATACACCTGGGGTAGGCCAATTATAACAAGATAAAAACATGACAGAATGGGGTGTGGGGGGGTATCAGGTGTACTTCTGGGAATCCATACCCTACTATTATATAAACACCTGGTGTCCCGTTCCTTCTGTGTCCCTCCTTTCCTGCATGGCTTCCTTTCACTTACTCTCAACCCCAACCAGTTCCCCTGACAATTTCCTTTCCTCTACATTTTGATTGCTACTGTACCCCATCTTCCTTTTACATTTGCTTGCCATTCCCTACATTTGTTGCACTCACTCTCTGATGTGCTCCCCCTTTACCTTCAAACCCCCCCACTCCTCCCCCAAAAATCTATTCCTCTAAAATCACTGCTGTCACGGAAGACAAGATGTACAATTATCCAGCTTTATTTACATAAAATATTATTACTGAGTGGTTCTTCAAGGATTTTCAGCTGAGGGCACATCCACACATATAGGCACATGCACTTGCAGCAGCTAAAGTAGCAGTAGCACAAATTTGTGCCAGTGGTACAATGTGCCCGAACATGCACTTTGGTGTAGGGCAAATTGTACCACTTGGGGCAAAATGACCCTGCCCAGCTCCTCCCAGATTTTCAGCCAGGGGGAACTAGAGGATGGGGCCAGCACAGGTGCTATTTGCCCTCAGGAACTTCTGAGGCCTGTACAGTTGGTATCTGGGGACACTATCCCCTTGTGCCAGCTGGACTGCTGAAGCAGCCCTGACCTAGAGTGGCCCCTGCACCCTCTACCCACTGCTGCAGTCTGGCAGTGGGGGCTGCTGCCTGGCTGTGACCTGCTGCCACCTGTGACACCATGCGCCTCCTTGGACCCAAGGCCCCATGACTGTGTGCCTTCCAGACCCAGGCAGAGAGTGCGCGGCCACCTGGGCTGTGGCATGGGCACTCCAGCAGAGCCTCTGGGCTAGCTACCAATGGGCCATGGCTGCACAGTTGACCTTTGGGTGTCACTGCTGTTATGTCTTCTGGTGTCCCCGTTCTGCCATCTGGGCAGCTATCACCCAGAAGATTTGCTCGTTACAGTGGCCTGCTTTGAACGGTTGAAGTGTGTCCTCCTGGCCCCAAAGGTGTGGGTTCATGGGCATGGGGTTTGTGGGTGGATTGTGTCGGGGGACTATGTGGGGTTGGAGGGGACTGTGTGGGAGGGGTGAGTCTCCTGCCTGCCCCTCCCACAGCACACAGCACCCCCCACCCCACCCTACAGCAACAACAGTCAGCAGTGGACCCTTGCATTGCCTGAAACCTGGGGGCTAAGTGTGGCGCACGGAGCCGACCTAGCCGGCAGGTACACACCTTCACACAGAACTAGGCTGGCTCCTGCTGCCACTGGGGGGTCCTGGCACTGCAGCCAGTGCTGTGCACCATCAGGCCAGGCTGGCTCCTGCTTCTGCATGCCCACCATGTTAAGGCAGAAGCTGGCTCTGCCCAGTGATGCGTGGCTCCTGCCTGCAGTGCTGCAAGCCCCAATGGCAGTAGGAGTCAAACCAGTTCTGTATACATGTACCAGTGGGCTGAGCCGACTCCATGAGCCACACTTAGCCCCTAGGTTTCAGGCGGTGTTGCTCACTGCCAGGGGACTCTGCCTGCAGCAGGCCACAAGGGACGTGAGGGCTCACTGCTGGCTGCTGCAGGTGGGGGGTTGGGCTGTGTGCCATGAGGAGGGCAGGTGGGGGAACTCACCCCTCCCACACAGTCCCCTCACAGTCCCCTCCCCTCCCACTCCTGCTTAGTGAAGACAGAGCCTGTGTCCCAGCCACTGGTGCCAGCCTTGTCCCACTTCTACTTCCTCCAGCACGCTGAGGCAGCGTGATGGAGTAGCAGAGGCATGCAGCAGGCATAGAGAAGCTTTGGCCGGGTGCTAGAGCATCTTCTTGAAGGACCCAGGTTCCAGTTGCTTTGGGGTATGCTCCAGGAGCATGCCTTGCACTGCTTTTTTTTTGCTGTGTTTTCTTTTGATATTGGGATTTCCAGGTATCAAACTTAGAGCCTGCGCTGTATGTCTGCAGTCCAGGAAATATTTTTTCATTTCTGGTGTGCCTCCTGCGGTGTTTCAAACTTCTTTGAGATACTTCAACAGGCATGTGCTTGCTCGTGAGGACACGGTCTGAAGTTTCAAAGAGGTTTAATGTAATTAAGGTTCACATCACCTGTTTGAAGTAGGTATTATGAATTATGATTTCCATTTTACTGAGGGGTCAACAGAGACACTAAGCTATTCAATAAAACCAGAATTCAGAAAAAATGTACTTCGGGAAATAAAACCAGAATTCATAGTTTCCAGCCCTCATTCTCTAGACCAGTCATTTATTTTAAGGTCTTCCACTCTTGCAAGTTAGGCCTTTCAAATAGGAGAAAGAGACACACTCCCGATGGCTGCTGTCTTTCAGCACCATTGTGTGCTCTGAAAATGTAAGCTTAGATGGATCAAGCTTTACCTTTTGTAAACATGGAAACAATCCTGGCTCTTTGCCATTCCTCACATATGTCACTGCTGCAAGTAGAATTTAATAAATGAAAGCAACTGCAGTCATTTATTTCTGTAATAACAGCCACTTAGACGTAGCTACTTTATAAGCTTCAGCAGAGCAATACCAGAAGTACCAGAACACCATGAAGTGTGTCAGGCAGCTTTACTAGCAATTGTGTTGCTGCCTCCCTCTTACTTGAATCATTATGAAGAAGACATTTACTAGGCTCCCCATTCCCTGCTCAAGCCTGGAATATTGGACACCTCTTTTCTTTACAGTGGCTAAAGTGATCCATCAATAGCTCGCAGTAAAACTACACCATCATCGGAAGCACTGCTGAAATGACTCCTCATCCAATGCGTTAGTAAAGGTGTTGTTGATTTTGGGCCTTGGCTTATTTTATGCAAAACGCAGCATGTACACAAGCTGCATGTATGCTCTAAAAAGCACGCAATGAGATGTATTTTCTGATGCCTGCGGTTTTGAGTGCCAAGTCTCACTATTTTTATGCAAGGTCTCTCCCTCTTCTCAACTGCAGTACTTACACAATGGAACAAAAATATGGACCACCTAATTATTACCCCTTGGGAAGTGATAGAGTATTACAGCAGTCTTTTGCCACAATGCAAAAGTACAGGCAACTATAGACTGATGTGTATTTTTAATATTCTTTGGGGGAATCTTTTTGTGGGACACTCATCTGTTTCTAGATCATAAGCAGGAATTAATTAATACATTGCTAGGTAGCTAATAACCCCTGCAGTGGTAATGATCATATTCTATGGAACAGCAGTTCTGTTAAGAGATATGAATATTTGTTACAACCATGTCACAATAGCACTATTCAGTTGTGCACTGGTAATGCAAATGATTGGCAGATCTTTGGAACACTATGGTACTGCAGCTGGATAATTCCTGAATATTCCTGGTTAAAGCACAATGAGAACATCAAATTCTAATTATCTCCTTTTTCATGCTGTCCTTCTGCTAGGCAGAATGAGCCAAATTCCACACTGCTGTAATTCCACTGAATGTATACACACAAATTTGCCCCACCAGTTACAAGAATGTCTAGTGTGATACAATCATTATCATCACACGATACTTTTCATTTATATAGGTTTAGCCAAGAGTTGGACTCAAAAAGTGTGTCCCCACATGCAGGGGCATACACTTACCATGGAAAAAAAAAAGCAGCGGCACAAATTTGTGGCACTACTTTTTGCCACTGCACAAGCCCCTGCATATGCACTTTGGTGTGGGGCAAAATGCCCCGCTTCAGGAAAACTGCTGTTTCCCCATTCCTCCTGGGTCCCGCCATGCTGGAGGAGCTGGGGTGGAACTAGAGGACAGATGCTCTGGTCAGCAGCCAGAGTGTCTCCTGGAAGGACCAAGCCTCTGTGTCTGCTGGCGCACATTCCTGGAGCATGCACTGTGCCACTTTTTTTCCTTTTTTTTTTTTGATACTGGGAGTTCCCAGTATCAAATCTGCAGCATGGTAAATAGTTGCATGTGCACCACATGCAGTTTATGGCATCTCCAGTAGGTCTGAGTTGGCACAAACCACACACGTGAGCTTGTCTGGATGTGCCCAAAGCATTTTTCTAAGCTGGGTAAGCACGCCTTACATAGACATGCTTAGTGATTTGCCCAAAAATCTCACCAATGAAATTAGAAACACGAGCCCAACAGTTTGGCTCTCAGTCTCCTACTTAAAGAGTGACAGCATTTTGTAAGGTTACTGATAATCAGAACTGTAGTACTGACAGAACAATGGCTTTGTAAGGCTGCAGTGTCTGATCCCTTTCTCTCTCATTAGGGGACAACTCCAAGCCATACTTCTCTGGAAGAAATTTGTGCCCTTTAGATTTGGACCACACATTACAGGAGGAATTCTGAAAAACAGCTGTGTGGGTTAGTGCAAGTGTCTGGGCTATAGGTGGGAGTAACATCCCTCCTGCCATTAAAACAGAAAGGGAAGCATTGTAGAACAGCATTCTTTGGGCCAGAACCTGAGGCTGCAAGTAGATTCGTTCACATAATAATGATGCCATTAACACTGACAATGAGATCACAACTGGCTGCCCAGGTAAAAGTTTAATGCTGCATATTACTATACCTCCATCTTCATTTTTCCAGTACAGGAACAGATTCATAGTTCCAACTTCAGTTATTTGATGATCTTCTCCATACAGCCACAAAACCTGCTGACACCCTTGTTCTATGGCTTCATGCTGGGCATAAACAGAAGAACCATAATTCCTTTCAGAAGGGGAGAAAAAAGAAAAAAAGCTATCAGTGCCTAACTAGATATTATCTTTTGACAAAACTTTTTTTCCCTTCTCCTAAAAACAGGTTATATTAATTTCAGTGCCCAGATTTAAAATCTGTCTTTTAATTAAAACACTCAGAAAAGTCACTGAGTGTCCCTGACATAATTACACTTAACCGGATGGTCTACATGCTGTTTTACTTCTACAAGCATTGAACTTTGAAGGACTCAGCAGAGTCAAGGGATACCCAATCATCAGCATCTCATATGACTTCATAAGAGTGTCTGTACTGTCTGGGTAAAGCTTTGTAGAGAAAGACAGAGAACAACCAGGAAGTTCCACAAAACCCTGGGATGTGGATGTAACTTCTGACACTTCTTCAAAGGTTTACACAAGCAACACAACTTATATATTATCCAGTAAACTGCTTCAACACTTCAGGTTTTATGCATTTAAAAATGGATCTAAGCAAGTTCACTTGTAGAAGCAGAATACCTAGAGCAGTTCAGCAAGGAGTCATGGGATATATTAGCTCTGCAGGCACCATTCTGCCCTTTTGCTGTCTCTGTTGCTGCTGTCCACTGGGTAAAGTCTTGAAAAAACATTAATGCAAAAAGGGTTTTCCTCATTGCTCTTTTCTGGCTCAGTCATAAAGCTAAGATGGTCAAAAGCAGAAGCACAAATGATTATTCTGGGACTTGATTAGGATCGCATTTATGTTTATCTGCTTTTTGGATGTCTACTGGGTGGTGAAGGAGATCCTTTTCTGTCCCTTCCTATCCAATTTTGTGCGGTGCATCAGACAGAAATATAAAAATAGCATTTTTCTTGGGTTTATTTTAATTCCATGTAGCAGCTGGAATCCTGGAGAAACATACTTTCCCATGCAGCTCACTATGATCCACAAACCTGAGTTTAAAAATTTCTGTCTTATTCTATCTGTGCCATTTTGCAATTCATCTCAAGTGAAGGGAGGGGGAGATGGCAATCTACTAGTAACCAATATCTGTTCAGAGATAACAAGCATAGTAGCTGCATAAGGAACTTGGGAAATGTCATAACCATAAACAGTAAGTGCTCTTTACAAATGCTGTCCGCAGACTAAATCTAACTAAAGAGCATACCTTCATTCACTACTTTTGTCAGTGGCCTCTGCTGAAAAAAATCTTGATACTCCCAACATCTCAGATACTAACAGGATTCCTAACCAGCAGCTACACACAGTGACAAGGGTATGTGTCTAAGACACGGGAAGGATGTGATAGCAGAGGGCTGTGGTAACAGGATGAATTCACCTCTGAGTCACTATTTCAAAACCAACTCAAGTCAGTGTGAATTCCTAATACTCTCTTCCAGGTCAACTCTCTTTTGGAGTAGCACAACAACAATAATTTAATTTAAAAAATAATAACAAGACAACAAAAAGAAATTATGAGTCACAAAAAGGAGGACTGGGTGGAGGAAACTTTTTGCAGCCATGGGATTATCTTGCTTTCTTGCTCACTAACAAAGCTGAAATCATACCAGAATACTGTATTTCATAACCAGGTAATCAGAGGAAAATTTCCTACTAGCTTTCTGCATCTAAAAGACTCTCAGAGAAGAAAGTTATCAATGTCTTCCAAAACAAGGATCAGTCATTTATTTTCTTTGATAAGCAAGTCTATTATCTAACCACATCAAAACTGCATACTTAACCAGAATCCCAGCTACTCTGCTGTGGTAACAGCCAAAATACATACTGTCCAAGATGCCTAGTACATTATCAGGTAGCACATTAACAGAAGGCGCTTGCCTAACCTGGGACTTCTGCTTGGTACACCAGAGCACTGTCAGATCACAGGTCCACCTTTGGATCTCTCTAACACTTTCCCTGAATTCCCATATTCTCCAAGCCAGTCACAGATGGCTTCTCAGAACATTTTGCCAAGGATGGAAAATAGCAATCAAGCTCTCCCTTGGCCAGCTGGCAGCAGGTTGGTACACTGCATGACACTGAAAATACCACTTCAGTGATGCATCAGAGTCTGCAAAAGGAGCAGCCAAAATATTAAAGTGGACACTTGACTGTCCCAGTTCTTCACTCTGCAAAGGGCTCTCATGAAATATCCTGTAGGGTTGGTGTAGCAGAACAAAGAACAGGCAACTGAAGAATAACTCACAATTTGTTATCACTTCAGTTTTAGAAATCTCTTTGTCTCTATACTTAGCATGCATTATATCTACATATACTACATTTAAAGGATAGTCAGCATCAGAGTCATGGTTAAATACCTCGCTAAAAGGAAACAGAGTCAAACATACAAGCTAATGCTTATGTACAATCAGACTGACTTACCCTCCCAGTTTGCAGTCCCCAGTTCCTCCTTTCCAGGCTCTTACATATTTTGGATCTGCCCACAAGGATATTGGATTAAAGCTTCCACTTGCAAAGTAAGGGCCCACAGGACTGAGTATGACATACAGCAGGGCTTTAGTTGGCTTCTTGACTCCAAGAGAAGGCTGCAAAGTAAAGTATGCATAGATCATTCTTGCTTTGTTGGCTTCTCTACTTGGGGGTTTAGACACTGGCTTTCTGAATTACCACTTTAACAGCAACTGCACTAGGATGGTGCCCACACACCTCTCCTGGAACTTGTGCAAGGGCCCCAATGGAATAACACGATTTACACTAGTTCCAAAAATCTCACTTCTAAAAAAGAATGGGGCCACCATATACTAGCACAATTAGTCACCCGCACGCTATTTTAATTCTCTCAAATTAAGGCTACAAATAAACATCGCTGAATGGAGGAATTCAGCTGTGCCATGATGTGTCAGGGCACAGCTGATCTGCCTCACTGGGCAAAGCATACATTGCCTCCCATCCCGCTCTTGATAGTGCAGGACAAGAGGCAATGTGAGCTCCCTGCTTTCCCCACTGGCCCAGACCCATGCCATTGGTCTAATGCAGTGGGGAAAACAGGGTTTTCCCCTGCCCAGTCAGCCCTACTAGCTGAGTAGGGCAAGTGGCACAAGGTAGCAGATGTCTGCTGCAATAAAGTTTTCCTGTCGTGGTGCAACAAAAGGCAAGGATGTCTATTTGCTCAGCATTTGTGCCACCTTACGATTTTTTAAGGCGGCACAAATGAGGAGTCAAACAACATCTGTTTCCACCCATTGTTTCGAACTGTTGTACTGGCTGCTACACTTCATGCAAAAGACACATGAATGGTTCTAATACAGATAGAAAGAATAAAGTGTTCTCTGACTTGATTAGATATCTGTATCTCTTTCCCAACTCCTTCAGCCTCAGGAGTTGAAATCTCAAGCAATCATGGATCCTGCCCCTCACATAGAAGAACTCCAACCACAAGGTCTAGCATACCTAATCAGATGCATGAAATTGTTTGTTGGGAGCAAAGCATTTGATGCTTCAGGAAACTGGTTTGTTAATGCCACCTCATTACTTAGGGATCTAAGCAGTGATGGAAGAAAGAAAAGCCCTGTTTATCTTCACTTAGCTTGCCACATAGGTAACATTTTTGTTGCCAAGTGACTAGCTCTGAATGCTAACACTGAATGTTTGAAGGAAAAAGCTTGACAATCTTATTAACCTGCGTTTTCTGGTTCAGGTGTATTCACAACAGCAGACTTGTTTGACGGGATCATTGATGGTTTCTTCCTACTACAAAATCCCCCTGAAACTGAACCAAACCTGTCTCCCTGGAGAATATTCAGGTGTCACTTCTGTGTCAAGAGGAATCACTTTCAGCAAATGGCCCACCCAAACATCTTGGCATGTGTAGTCACCACAGTACACAACAAATCAATCCAACAAGTCCTCCTGAGCAATACCTTAAGGAACCCTGACATGGCTGCTGTTACCAGGCATTTACAGATGTGCTCCAGGAGGCAGTGGATGCTTTAATTAGCACAGCTCTAAAAGCCGCACTGATTAAAAGTGCCCAGAGCATCACGTGTATCAGCATCCCCATGCTGAAAAATGGCAGTGGGGCACTTTAACTAAAGCTAATCCAATGTGCTTTAGTTTAAAGTGCCCCACCACCATTTTTCAGCACGGGGACATGTGACGCTGGAGTCTGCTAATTAATTAGTCTGGTAATTACCACAGATTAATCAAGTCTGCTCCAACATGCTATAATTACAGCACGGTGGAGCAGCCTCTCTGCATACGTACAGGAGCCCACAGTGTGCAACCTATGAGAAGGAACCAGGAAGGTGCCCAGGGAAGGAATGTGAAGGATTCCAAGTGGCAAAAACCTGGCTGTGTGCTGGGATTTTAGATCTAATTAAACTGGGCATCTATCTTCTCTCTTGTCAGCCAAACTGATCACTCAAATAAGGACAGCAGTACTTCCTTCTTTCTAAAAGGGCAACCATTACATAACGGTTATAAAAAACTTAGAGGTCAAATTGCAAGGGATCAAGATGGTGTATGAACCAGCCCAACATCAATCCCAGGGTTCTGCTGAGGCCATGAAACTACTGGAAGATTCAGATAAGCTTCCTTCAGCTCTACTGAAGCCATTTTTGATTTCCCAGCACTTCAACAAAATGGCTAACTGAAAAAAGTAATATAAGTAATATCCAGATGCTGCTCAGTGGCAACTGAAGTAGAGTATCAAAATACAGATATAAATGACAAAGTCCTGTTATTTATGTTATGTGAATCAGACACTGCAAATAGACATTGCCTTTGTACTACCATAAAAATCTATATGGTGGCACAAAGCTCAAGCAGATGTCCATGCCCCTTACCTCACCACAAATGCTTGAGGTTCTCTCACATGCTGTTGTCCTGTAGGACTGGGTCCCTTAAGTCCAGGGAGTGGCAGAGGCTCAACCCTGTAGGACAACAGGTGACATCTGTGTCACCCAATGAAGTGAATCATCTGTGCCTGGACATATCCCAACACAGTTGATCCGCCTCCAAGGATGACGTCCATTTATAGAAGGAGAGAATAAAAGAAATAAAGAAGAAAAGGCATTCTGGGAACAGGGTATTTCTCTGTTTGACATGGGTATAAACCCTATCGGAGAACTTCCCTTGCCTACCAAAGCCCTCTCATGATAAACCTCTGTAAAAAATTGCAAATCGTGATTTTTAATATTGACAATGTTACAAATTAGGACCTGCAAGTGCTTTATACACCTTAAATTAAAATCAAGCCCCTACTCCCATTTATAAAAGGTGGAGGTTATAAGACCAACCTACAGTGGTTGCCCTGTGGCAACCAGCAAGTCAGGGACAGAGCTGGGAATATTGATTCTGGCATTGGTGCTTTAGTGAACCATAAAAGTTTTCCCTTTTATGAGAAGTGACAAGCAAGGAAAATGTTCATAAAAATCACTTCTTTATTCCCTATTCATTTTATAGACATTAGGGATCTACATCCACAAGCAATTTGTGTAGGTGCATACAAACATATGACTACAGGGGAACAGCAACTGAGGTAAGTTTCATCCAGAAGTAAGACATAGGTTCACTCATAAGACAGAGATTATAAGTTGTCCTTCATGGTGGAATAACTTTAATTTACTCTTGGGGTTTGGAAGAAGCCCTAATAGCATAGACCATAGTCACTGAATACATGTAAACATGTCCCATATAACCCATTCTCATGTATTATTTCATTTTTAAAGACAAATGCTATGTATGTTTTTTATTACAAAACCTCAATTAAAACTTTAAGTTCTTTAAACACACACACACAGGTGGGTGGGCGTGCACTGCAATTGTTCACAGTTAAGAGAAAATGTACATTTAATCTAAGAACCTGAACAAATATTTCCACTAGATGGTGCTGTGGGAAACATAAGTGAACTCTAAGTCAACTGCAAAAAAGAATCTTAACAGTGAAAAGCAGGTGGGCAGAAATTGGAATAATGCAAAGATCAGAATAAAGAGTTAGGACTAAACACTGTAGTTAACAATTCTTCCTATCACTGAAATTATCTTGTATTTTACCAGTGGTACAGTTTTCACTTTCAGCTCTGAAGTGTGCAAACCAGTTTAGCTCTAGCTGTGCTATCAGGCAGTCTTTTCTTCCCAAGTCTGCTGTTCTCATAGCATGGCCAGACATTTTTAGCAAGCAACTAAAAACACACAAAATGAACTTGTTAGCCAATTCATTATTCTCTGTCAATTGGTGAAAAATAGATGTATTTATGTTCTAAGGACAGGAAAGGTCAAAACTGCCCATTAACAGTAAGAGAAGGGAATGGGGAAGGGAGGAAGGAAGGAAAGTAGTGATTAGTGGGTACATCTGCATGTGCAGTTAATTTGAAGCAATACACTCCAGAGCAGTTTGAGCCAAAGTAAACTACTCCTGGGCACTGTGTCTACATGTGCCCCCAGAACAGCAGCAATTTGAGCTGGGGTAGAGAAGTTTATGCCAAGGTTGAGGGCACTGGGAATGGGGGGTCAGTCCCAGGCTCTCGGTGGCAGCATCAGATGGCAGAAGCTGGATGGGGCACAAGGGTGCTGGAAGTATAGTCTGGCCCCCTGCTGCCGGGCTGACTGGGCACACTTTATACCAGAAGCCAGCATCTACACATATGTTTAATCATAGTTAATTCCCCCGCCATAAGATAATACCATCTCTGACAGCTAAGTAGTCTACTCCACAGTTAAGCACATGTGTAGACACAGCCACTGAGCATGCAAATACAAGACAGTGCACAAATATTACTTTGGGGCTGAGGTGTATCTTCGCAAACATATAAATGCAAAATGCAGCCATACAGCCATTACAGTTTCCAATATTTCAATATTTCCAAATTGCTGCCTCGTAAGATTTTGTTTAAAATATGTTATACCAAATACTTTGTAAAACCAGTGATGTAAGTTTCAGAACAAAAGGTCCATCTTAAGCTCCCCCTATACTGGCAAGTTGAAAGAGCAGAACTGAAATCTGATTTCTCCTCCCAAAAACTGCATGCACATGTTGCATGGTCAGACATGTGATTGTTGGTATCACAGATGAGAGCTGATTGTGCCATTAAACGAATGTCTGTCAGGAGCTTAGTGCCAGAATATGGGTGCCAAACCAGGGTAGGACAACACAACAACGAAACAATGAACATGTGCATACAACTGAAAAAAGTAAAAGATTTTCCCCACCTCTATTCCAATCAACGTAGGGCGGATGTACAGGCTGGCGGAGGTTGAGTAGGGGACCCACTCTGTTTCCACTTCCACAAGCTTCCGGATACAATCTAGGAGTTCATGCTTATCAAAACACTGAAAATAAAGAAAGAACCCAGATTTATCAGAAACATACTCCTGGGAACTTTTAAATCAGGGTGACAGGATACAGAGGTCCACAAAATTATACCACTATCATTGGTGTGACAAAGCATGGATGCAAGGGCCCTGTGGCTGTAACCACCCCAGAAATGAACTATCCTGAGTGTCTTCATGCAGTTAGGAAATGTATTGTCCAAAAACAAGCAAGGAAACAGTGGGATGAGCAATTATGGTTCCAGCTTGCAATGGACACTAGAAAAAAGCTCAATATGCACAGAGGTACACCTCAACTTTTCCGTTTGTTCCCTAAGTGTGGAGACCAGCTCTTCTTCAGAGTTTTCTAGAGACTGATGAACAAGCAAGGAGACCTGATGTCCCACTTTACTGGAAAATGCCTCCAGAAAGCTGGATAACTGAGATGGCAGGAAATGCACAGGCCAGCGTGCAAGTACTAGAAAGGTACCTTTCTGCCCTGATGAAGTTCACTAGCATAGTGAGAATATGTGGTTGGCTGTGAGATGTGAAATCATCCAGCTAAGGTCAAAAACTCTTAGCAGAACTAAGAATAAAACTTGGGTCTTGCAGACCTAGCCACTAGGGATGCCGGGCTAAATTTGACTTGGGGAACTGTATGGGCTTATATGGGAGAGGGCACAGTTTGGCTACCTACCTATGTATAAATGCTCAGATGAATGTTTGTATTACATGCCTTCAGCTCTAACGAGATTTAGTAAATCCCCAAACACTTTTTTCTGCAGGAAGGAGAGGATGCAGAGACAGAGCCTGCATGTTTGTGTTGATGAGTTCGTGGCAGAATTGATTTTAGTAGCTCCCTGAAGTGATCACTTTCCCACGGCTGAACTTCTATAACGATAGAGATGAAGAGCTCTGGTGTTCAGCGAGAGTTACAGCTGCTGCAGAGCTTCAACCTAAAAATAAAAATACTTTCCTAGCATAAGGAGGTTAAAACGTGCTTCAATTACGTACTGGCAGCGTGGCTCGCTTTGCTGACCGTGCCATCCGGTCCATGTTGAGCATGGGGCGGAACAGGCGGATTTTACCATCCACTCCTCTGTAAGCTTTCATTCCTTCAAACAGCTGTACCAAGCCAGAAGGGTGGGGGGGGAAAAAGACAGAATCAGATACAGACAATCACTATGGAAGGTTATTGCATGATGACCAGTGAAAAAAATACAGAACATGCCCATTGGAAATGAAAGCGTTTAGCACTTCTCTAGCACTACATCTTCAAAGCACTGTATAAAGAAAGGCTAATTAGTCCTTACAATACCTGGGTGAGACTAAGGAGTGTTTTCATTCCTGCGCTAGCCTTCAGTATGCTATAAACATATCAGTATCAGGGGAGCTAGCAATTATAATGAAATCTGGCTACAACTTAATATTTGTAGCATGGGGTTGACTTAACCATCCCCTCGTAACCTGACTAATGTCAGGACTGACCCCAAACAATAGAGAAAATGCCTGCAGAATTTAAGGTAACATGATAACTTTGCCTCAGGGCTCAGCCCAGCGTGCATTTGTACAGGGGTAAGGGAACAGGACAGGAGAAGAATTAAGGGAGGCAGTTGCAATGCCTTGATCCTGCACTACTTCAGCAGCAATTGGGACAAACCTCAACTTATGTCTGTCCCTCAATACACATCTACTCTAAAAAAGGGGACAGGTGGTGCTAGACCCAGATCAATTAGCTTTGAGATACATTCTCTACTGATAATTTACAGGCTAAACTCAGCAACTTCAAGCACACCGGAAAATCTGGCCCATGGTCTTCCAAAAGAATTTGCCAGAAAACTACTAAAATCATCTGATAATTTGAGGATGATTCCAAAACAATACTAAGCTCTATAGTACAGCTTAGAGCTTGAAAATAGCTTTGTGTTTTTAAGAGTAATTTTAATGTAGTCCTAAATTATACAGCACTTTTCCATAAGGGTTAGAATAGGATAGGTCTATCTGAGGCTTTAAGACAGCCCAACTGCAATATAAACAGAGCCTTAGCAAATTTCTCTAGGCTACCCATCAGTTAAACAGCAGAGCCAAAATGAGAACTTAGGACTTCTCACCTTCAATGCTGCTCTTATTGCTATGGACTATGCTCTCCCCATTAAGAAGTATTTTTTTAAACACATGAGACACACACACACACACGTCACGAATAGGACACTGTAGCTAGAGAACAAAAAGCACTTTTAATAAGTCATAGCATAGTTGATGACATGGAAACTTGCATTTTGTACTGGACCAGCTATAAGCTATTTTTTGTAATGCCAAATGGGTTTACTATAGAGTTTTTCCTCACAACATGCATTTGCTAGAATCTGTACGAGAGGGAGGAGGAAGGAATGCTACTGCTAAGTTTTGTCCAATAGTCTGACAGAAATAGAATCAAATTGCTATTGAAACACAATGCTTGCTCAAGCTGTTACATCATTACATCATTCCACACCCCCTCTCACCCGCCCAGAACAGATTTTTGTAACTTTTCAAAGCTCAGTAAACTCTTCACTTGTTAAAAAGGAAGCCAATGACAGTTTCAGGAATGCTCTATTCCAAGGAAAGCAACAGCTGCAGTTGCTTTCTGGTTTGCTGCTACAAATATGTACATCACAAGAACTGGATCTGGAAGCTAGCAGATCCAGGCTATCAAAGTGTATCATGGAGGGCAAGGAGAAAAAGGGAGGGAATGCCAAATTGATCATTTTTATTATACCCACTGTGTATTCATTGAGCCACAGCATTGACACCAGATTCTCCTCTGTCTGTCCTCTTGGCTAGAGGAAACGTGATGCAACAAGGGTAAAATAAAAAAAAAAAAAAAAAAGTAAGAGCACATTCATATTAGCAATGATTCCAGACTGGGCCAGAAGTAAGAGGCTACTATGAGTGAAATAATGTTGGGACTCCAGCGTGGTTGCCTGCTTCTTGGGCAGGTCAAGAGTTGTCGCTAGAATCCTTAGCCACAGAGATCTATAATCATTAGTACAGATCCCAGAAGGTTAGATAAGTGAATGGAAAAAATAAAAGTAGGGTAGGCATTAGCCCAGTGACAGAAAGAAAAGGTCATGAACCTGATTCTCCCTTTACTTACATTTCTCTTACACCAGTGTAATTCTACTGACTTGGTAGAGTCTCTCACAGTTTACATTGAAGTGGGAGGAGAATCAGGATGCATGTTTTCACCCTGTGTTCCTAAGCCGTTCAAAGTACCTTACTGAGGCTCTGACATGAATGAGAGTACAGAGCAAGCTGCTCCAATGACATAGAAAAGACCACTGTTGACATTCATTACTAGGTATTTTTTAAAACACCACCACGCTGGCTTCCAGCTGTGATATTTCACTTTCTTATAGGCAACTCCTTGCTTTTTCTCTCTGTTCCAACACACCATTTGCAATATTATGAAGCTACCAAAGAACTAGGTAGCTAGCAGAAGTCACAAACAAAGACATGCTAGGCAGATCCTACAGTCCAAACTAAAGATCTTCAAGGATTTATCGGTTTCATAATGTCTGTGCCCCACCCCCAAATTAATAAAATCATTCTTGGAGTGTAATACAGCATGCTTCAGTGTCACAGAGTATATGGTAAAATGAACTGGAAACCATGGGCCAAGAGAGTTCTCAGTTACACAAAAGTGTAATATAAGGTAACTCCGCCAAGGCCAATGGACTGAGACCAATGTTAGCACAGCAAAATTCAGCCATGTGTTAGCCATGTGCAACTAAGACAGTGGCAATACTTATATTACAGGATTACGTTTTCAAAAATTTAGTAAAAGGTAAATTCCCAACTCATTCAGTACTCACTTCCATAGCATAGTGGAGAGATGATGAGGCTGGATGTAACGAAAGATTCTCAAGAGGCTTAATATGAGGTTTCTCCCATCCTGAAGCCAAAGACCATTCGATTGTCAACATGTTATCTGTGAACACAGTTCCAAACACCAAACCATTGGGGTCTGGTTTTTCCTTGAAAGTAGTTGCCGGGGTAATAATTAAGTCTTCAGCCTGGAAAAAATGTGAAACAAATGCATAATATAAAAACCATATTGAATTAAAATGCTTATGTACCAGTCACTGTGGATGTACAAACATGCAATCCAGAAGCGACTAAGAGGTGGGCAAGATTATTTATATGAAATAAGCAAAAACATGCATGATTACACACATGCACATACATACAGAACACTCTGCATTACAATTATTAACATTCCTTAAGAAAAGGAAAATAATTATTGGAAAATATTCCATATATGGATGGAAATCTTTTCGATAAATAGTCCAGTAATTCCCCTATAAATCTGTATGTATGCAGAGGGTAAAGATTACTTCACACAAGACAAGACTGTGATTTCCAAGAGGAAAAGGACTATTCTTCCCTGAATCACAATGTGGAGGAAGGGTAGGCAAGAAGAGGAAACTGTGGTGCTGGTACTCTTTTGTATACACAGGTTGTATACAGTAGGAAATGGATGGAGAGGAGTGTGAAGCAGAGGCTTGGTTTTATTTTCTGCACCTGTCCGTTCCACAAATTGTCTACTCAGTCAAATTGAACCAACTCAGTGGGGAAAAGGAATTTGCTCTTAGGTAAAAAGGAGGAAGGGATTGTGACTACAAGATACGTTCATTTTAAAAATGAGGTTCAATACAAAATCATAGAACAAGAGACCCTCAGGCTGGATTGTATTAAGTATAGTCTAAACACAGACTGCAGGTTCTCATCCCATTACCTGGACTAACTTTTCTGACCTTTTTGTCCCTATGGGTTTATTATGTGTTTGCCTCTCTACCCAGTACCCCACTTTCCTCTCCCTTCCTTCCTTGCCTGTCTTTCATATTCAAATCCTCCTCTGTTTGATACACTGCCACTGCTCTGTCCATGTCCTTTTATGACATATGATGAAGTAAGCGCAGGCTCAAGAAAGTTCACGCTGTGTGACTCTTATTTAGTTCATCTGTAAATTGCCAGTCTACCCTACCTTGTGCCTGACTTCAGACTAACCTAACTAACTGTTTCTTTCTACAAGATAAGTGGCTTCCATGAGGTGGGAGAAAGACAAGCAGCTCCGTCGTTTTGAACAGCTGTTTAATAAATTCAAATGTCCACTAAGGTTCAACACTTGCTGTCATGGCTTCTGCAAAGGTCTTGACTTCTCAGGTTAAGGATAATTTTTTTTGGAAGCAAGATGAATTCTGGCTCAAAATTTAAGAGCAAGACTTACATTAAAACATCCTCTTCTAAGAGTACAATGGTTGCACAATCTAATTTTCAAGCTATCGTTAATGAACACTAGCCTATTTTCATTATTATTTTGCATAATTGCTTAGATGTGAAATCAACTGAAAGCTGAAGCACATGAATAGCTAGAAGCCTGTTTTAAACCATCACCAATTACAGGCCCTGTCTAGATATTATGGGACATTAGCTAGGCTGCATTAACAAATAAATTGATGAAACAGCAATTACTGCTCTTAACTCTTCATAGCAGTGATTCACAACCACAGTATTGCAGCTGTCTGGGGTGAGATCCTTTTAAGGGTGCCCTTGTGAGCCACACAATATTAGCACTGGTAGGTTTACACACCTACAAGATTCATGTCATAAACCAAAAGACTTTCAAAAGAAATCCAGAGTTTCAAAACCATTCTAAGGTGTTGGGTGGGGTCTTTCTGAAGTCTTTGCAACAGAAGAATTGCTCTATTAGCTTCTGTAGTCAAAAAACAAGTGAAATCAAACGGCTGGCATTTTCAAAGAGGTGATTTAAGTCTAACAAAGGATACCTTGAGTCCAAAAAAATTTGAGAATCACTGGTTTATAGTAAAAATTAGCCTGCAGACAGTAAATTCTCTAAAGGGAACAGTTTGCTTCAAGCTTTTCTGAAACCAACACAGGAGCTTTTCAATAATATCCCCTTTATTAACCAACTGCAAAACAGACATTGAAAAGAACAGACACACGATCAAAAAAAAATCAGAATTTTGAAAGATGGTCACTTCAAAATCAGCTACTTACATGTATGCCTTAATTTAGGAAAACAGTTAGGCAACAGCTCAACTTTAAGCACGTACTCAAAAGTCAAGCATGTAATCAAATATTCTTCTTACTTACCAAAGCCTTCAATATCCGAAATCAAAGCAGGGTGATTTTTCAGAGGTGTTAGGTAGTCACGCTTACCTTTGAATTCAAGACCACTTTTAATTTAGATATCTCCATGATTCAGGCCATTTTATTTTATCGACTATGTCCAGCCTTTGTGCAAACCTGAAGGCACCACAGCACCGGAAATACACCTGACACGCCCCACCCATTTCCTGTCTAAACAGAAACAGCTTTGTGAAGCCCCAAATACTAACTGCTTAGGTCAAAAGGAGCACCAATAATTAAGACTGTGTCTACCTTCACTTCCTGTGGCCTCTCACAGCTACCCCCTTGTCTTCACCTTCTAGGCTTTTTGGATGACGCATGTATTTGGGAGGCCACTTTTGGAGATTCAGAGTGAGCTAAACCTAACTAGCCTCAATTGCTTGTTCTAATCCCTCCTTCTCTTGCTTAGCTCTGGGCCCAAGCCGCTAGCTAAACCACACATGCCTCACTGGTGCTAATTATGGCCTCCAGCCATAGGCATGCCCATGCCTCACGGGTCTTGCTTTAACTCAGGGGCAGCCAAAATACAGCCTGTGGCCCAGTTCTGGCCCACCAGGAAATTCCATCTGGCCTGTGGGTGCTCACCAATTGTACCCTGCCCAGCCCCCATGCCTTGCTCACACTCTGGCATGCAGCTTCTGGGCAGGGCTGCTGCTGCCATTGCTGCAGCCACCAGGGGGACCTGCTTGGCTTCCTTGGCATCCAGTGGCTCCTCCTCCTGTTCCTGCTATAGTGCTTGCTCCAGGCAGTAGGTAGGGAAGCAGTGGGGGTGGGAGGGAGCTGCAGCTAGATGGGGGCGCTAGGTGGGGGCAGGGAGCTTGGGGCTGGCCTGGCAGGAATGCAGGGCTCTGGTGGGCAGGGTGTGGGTGTGAGGGAGGGTAGGGGGCTGTGGAGACCCCCACACACTCTCTCCCATGGCACACAGCCCCTGCCACAAGTGGCAGCAGCAGCAATAGATGGGGGCTCTTGGGGTGCTTGTGGCCCACGCGGGCAGTGCTGTCTGGTGGCACATGGCTCCAGCCAGAGCTGCACATGGTGACAAGAAGCACAGCCTGCCCAGCCCGCCTCTATCATGAGGGATTCCCCATGGTACACACACAGCTCCTAGCGCTCATGCACCACCAGGGAAGCCCCGCATGCTGGAACCGGCTTCCTTCCCTACTATGTGCAGCTGCCGGGACTCCACCAGAGGGGCCCTATCCCCTGCTTCTGTGGTAGCAGGGAGTGGGGAAGGCAGCCAGCTCCATTGTGCGGGGCTTCCTCCAATGGCGTGTGAGCACTGGGAGCTGCATGTGTGCTGCAGAGTCCTTTGTGATAGAGGCAGGCAGCGGGCTGAGCTCCTTGTTGTAATGTGTAGCTCTGGCTGGAGCCATGTGCCGCTGGGTGGCAGCACCTGCACAGGCCAGGAGTGCCCCAAAGGGCCCCTGTTTTCTGCTGCTGCTGCCAGCAGCATAGATTGTGCCCCATGGGGGAGAGTGTGTGGGGTGTCTCCACACTCCCCCACCCTCCCTCACACCCTACATACCTACACCCTGCCCCCACACCCCCCCCATATACACACACCTTGCAACATACCCCACACACCCTCCCACCGTCACACCCTCTCACAAACCACATGCACACCCACCCCACCATACACACACACACACCCACACACAAAACACAAGAGTAAGACTTTATTTTTGACCTATTATGCAGTCATCTCTATATACACTACACAAGCACAAATCAAGACAAAAATATCTTTTGTAACAAAATTAAAATACGTTATAGTAGATGTTTGATTTTTAATATATGATTTTTTTTTCTGGTTCAGATAACAACTCCACTCTCCCCCCCAAGGAGTACTTCTGGGGCAAGGGGAGGGACTTCTGGTGGCAAAGGTCAGGGGTTAGAGGCAGGACTTCTGGCCCCAAGATGGCAACCAGGGGGTGGCATACCTGTCAAGGGGCAGGGCTACCCATGCAGCCAGAGCCAACCTGAGCAGGGTGCAGGGTCCAAGGCAAATTAGCCCACGTGGAGCCCTGCCCCCGCTCCGATCCCATGCACCCCAGCCCCGAAGAAGCTGCTGCTGCCATCAGCAGTGGTGGCAGTGGCAGGGGAGCAAGTGGCTGGACGTGAAGCAGCTGCTCTGCCCAGCTGTGTGGAGCGAGTGGCTGGACGCGGAGCCACAGCTCCACCCAGCTCCACAGGACCCCCTAAAGCGTAGGGCCAAGGGCAGTCACCTCAATTCGTGCCCCACCCCGGGACGGCCCTGCTTGCTGCCCTTGACAACTCACCAAAACTCATTAAGCGGTCCTCCAGTGGAAATAATTGCCCACCTCTCCTCAGACTCCATTAACCAAGTCCTCTGGCTATCATAACATCAGCTCCTGCAGCCTGCTGGCCCCTGGCCCTGGCAGGGCTGCTTCAGCCTACAACTATTAGATGTCCATCCTCTCAGCCCACTGGTCCCCTGGCCCTTGCAAGAGCTATTATGGCTTGGTGTGCATCCCAGGCTATACTCAGCCTATTCTGATTTGCTACAATCTGCCCAGCTGGCCTTCACCTACTGTTTGCTACCTTCCTGGAAGGGGCATCTTACCCTAGATACCTGCCTGAAGCTCTGTAGCTCCTCTTTTCTCTTAGGCTACTTACTTCTCTGCAACTGATCCTTGGTTATCCACCTGCACCGAGGGTTGCCAACTCTATTTGAATCTATTCCAGGCGGTTTCTGGAACACCAATGTGCCCACGACACACAACGTAAATGTGCCCACGTGCTTGCGTATATCAGTTATGGATTACAGTGCGTACACTTCATGTTAGGAAGACAAATGCATTTTACTATTACATTTTAAACCCCTCTGGACTACATATATACA